CCGGGCCGGCTCGCTCCATCAACGCTTGGTGGAGCATGCCAGGTTCCATCTTGCTCCGACCCGTCTGACAATCGGCGTGTCTTTGCTCATGTGCTTCCACAGACTGCAGTGTGGCGTCTTCAACTTTTTGTTCCGCTCCAGAACCACGCGTGCTGCCGCGGCAGGCGAAGAAGACCATGCCCACGCGCCGCCCCCAGCCCCGCTCGCCTCTGGCCTTGAAGTCCTCCTGGCCTTTTTCACATCTTTAATCCCCGTTCATGACTGAGGGTTTACGCTCTCTCTTTGAACATATCCAAGAATTTTTTGCGCAATCACCAGTCGCTCACAGTCCCCCGTGTACCTGAACCTGTAGCCCTGGTGCTCGGAATGCCATGTTGTTGCTTTCTTACTTTTTCTTGTCTCCCGTTTGGTTTTGTCCCTCCCTTCCCCCGTGTTGCTGAGCTTCCCGGCGGTTATGCTTCTGTGTAAAGCCATAAATCATGTCAATCCAAGTGTGGTATCCTTGCCTCCATACTGTGGTGCTCAAAAGCACGGCCGCCTCATCAAGGGAAAGAAGACGCCGGACGGGACATCAATGGTAGCTTGAAGAGCAAGGACAGTCAATCACACATACACATGCACGCGTGCCCACCGCCTTTGTGCACGTTAGGGTTTGAATCGGGTTGCCAACGGGCTTCGAATACCATGGCTGGCAAAGGGGCAGTCCACGTGTACGTACAAGCCCCAGTTTTGCGGTGCTTTCGAACCGGCTCGTAACGGTCTTGGAATACTTGCCAGCATCCATGGCTGCCAAAGGGGCAGGACAGGAGCCCGTGCTTTGGAATTTGCTTGCATGATGATCGTTTGTTGTTAATGAAGAACACCCAAAAAAAATAAAAAATAGAAGTGGTGTGAACATGTGTTTGATCTGTGCATTTTCCTTCGTTCCCCGGCACCGGCGGATTGCTCGACGTGTCTTGCTCTGTATTTGGTGAATGTTCATGCTTCATCGCTTGTACGCTTGTGCCTGCCACGATATTATCCTGGTCGGAGACCGCTGCCTCCTTTTTTTTTTTCCGTGGTCTGAGTGTGTTAGCGTCAAATCCATGCTCCGTGGAACTCGCTTCCACGCATTCGGGCACTCCCACTGCTTTCGCACACTCAGTTTCGGTCACTATGGGTCTTTCCACTGAAACCCCCATAGCTGCTGAGACCTCACATATACACGCCTACACTTAGACCCCCGATTCCTGGCACACGCCTTGGGGCAATAAGCTTGTCACTTACTGTTGTTTCTCCTTGTTGTGACACCTGCGGTTGGGCAAGGGTTGCACTTTCCCTATCCTTGGGATTGAGCGGCTCTACAGCGATTCTAACGGTGCACCTGGTCTGGTCACTGTGAATGCTTGCCGACCGCAGGTACGTCAAGCCCTCTGCCATTCTGTCTTCCCCTTGCTCTCCTGTGTGCTCCGCCCTTTTGTGACTTTCCCTATCCTCGGGATTGAGCGGCTCTACAGCGATGCTAACGGTGCACCTGGTCTGGTCACTGTGAATGCTTGCCGACCGCAGCTGGTTCAATTGACCTCAAGACACCATCAAAGCTTTCGCTCCGTCCCGACGGACGTCTCTCAAACCTCTCTCAAAACGCTTTCTCAAACCTACGCGCTTCCTCGCAACCCAAAACTGGCCTCCAGACGTGCTGGAGCCTCACAGAGTGCAACTGATCCCGCTTTACAGTCGACAACGTGCGCGGGCAAACAAGAGCACCTGTCCTCGCAACTGTCACCGAGAACTGTTGACCAGAGGTGAATCATTTGTTGCATCAGGCAGAGCAGAACAAGACCCGCTGACCGGCTGCCATTTTGGAAACTGCGCGCGCGCGTCGAACCCCGTTCCGCATTTTGGGTTGTCAAACGAGTTGTGCTTGGAGGGTTCTCATGAAATTGGTGGTGGATGGAAAAGCCAAAAGCAATTCGAAGCGGATGGTGAAAGAGGGAGACCGTTACCATGAATGATGGAGAGCAGCTGTACAGGGCGTGTCAGTCAGATGCACAAGAGGCGCTGCAGCTGTTGACCAGTTGGGACCAACAACGCATTCGAGATGCTGCCGACTACACAGAGCGTTGGGTACGTTGGTATAGTGTTATAAGATATTGGTTACACTTTGAATATGTCACTGCATGTGGTGACGTTATGGTATAACATGGGACATGTACAAATGCGCGTTTGTATCATCCCACAGTATGGCGATTCACCACTGCACATGGCCTGCGAAGAGGGTCATGTCAAGGTGGTGGAGATGCTGTTGAAGCACGGTGTTGATGCTAATACCAAGAACGACGTCAGTACAGTACCTCCTTCCTTTCCCCACTTTACCTCCACCCCTCCCACCCCTCCTATGATGGTGCACCTGTACCACACGATGATGATAATGCTGCTGCTGTACCCGTACCACAGTTTGGCCATACACCACTGCACAAGGCCTGTATTTACGGTCATGTCAAGGTGTTGAAGATGCTGTTGAAGCACGGTGCTGATGCTAAAGCCACGTACGACGTTAGTACAGTACCTCCCTCTTCCTCCCTCCCCTCTAACTGCTGCTTCTGTTCGCGCTGCTCGTTGCCTTTGCCCAGTCCCTCTCTCCTGAACTTCCTGCCCACCGTGCCCTTCCGTTCTGCCTCTTGCTCCTTTCTTCTTTCGCGGTATCCCTTTCTTTTCTTGTTTTGCCCCCACCCTCTGTGGGTGCTCCCTGCTCCCCGCGCTGTTCCGCTGTATCTTCCACCGCTTCCCTTTTCTGATGTTGTGACTTTAAACCCGCCAGTGTCTCTTTCGTTTTGTGATTCTACCTGGAAATGGCTCTTGTGCCGCACCTTCTTCGCTCGGGCTCGTGATGTCCTGGATTTTGCTGGCTCATCCAGACCCGTTGTCTTGTGCTACATGTCTGTCTTGCCCAAGCAATGACGCGGCTGGCCGACCTATGCCACGGTAGTTCGCGAACACATCACTTCACCTCGCTTGTGGCAATGATCATGCTGAGATCGTTTCGATCCTTCTAAGTCATGGTGCAGACGCCCACGCGAAAAATTATGTAAGAAGCTTCTTGCCTGTCCCCTGATGTTGAACAAGTCCGATATCTTGCTTGCGCCTATCTCTGTCTGATGGATTTGTTTTTGCGGCTAGTATCGGGAAACAGCATTGCACGTCGCTTGCCAAGGTGGTAGAACGAATGCGGTACAAAGTCTGTTGAGTCACAATGTAGACCTCAACATCACCGATCGCGTATGTTGCGCTCGTTGCTGTGTTAAATTAATAGTATTGTGTTGCCTCCTCCCTTGGAAAGGACTCGTTTCTCATGTTTCCGAGCATTGATCATAACATAGAACGGCCAGACGCCGCTCCATGTAGCCTGCAACGCCTTCTCAGCCAGCCGAGAGGATATCCACCAACTCTTGCGGCACGGTGCCGACCCAGACGCGAAAGATCTCGTAAGCTTTTCACCACGATGCCGTACTTTTCTGCTGTTTTGTTGCACCTGCAATTGATACCAAATGGCCTGCTGTGGCAGACGGGAGCACGGCCCTTGGAGCTGCTCGTTCGCTGGGTTCCCATGAAGCTGGAGGTGGGCCTTTCTTTAATTTCGGGACTAATTGCAGAGACAAGCTTGCTTACCGATGAATCTGCTTCCCGTTTTAGCCGATTGCAGAGCTATTGGGCGCAATCCGTACCCCTTGCTCATACCAAACTTTAGATTCCCGTGGTACGAACCTGTAGCCCGCGTGGTTGTTCATATTGTCTTGTTCTCATCGAAATTCAACGTGGCGCCAGTCCAAGACTTGATTCGTGCGGAGCAGGTCAGACGCTGGCGGTGCGTTGCTGCTGTTCTCTGTAGCGTCGGCTGGCGCGTGGATCCTCTTTTGTTCAATATTCAAGACCCACAAACTCTTGGTGACGGCTTGGCCGCTCTAACCTTCGCTGCTCATGCTGCATCTACGAATCGAAATGAGTGACGCTTGATGTTGGCGAGAATGAAGTCAAACGAGCAGGGCGGGCTTTGCTTAACATCTGAAGCAAAACAGTTCATGACCAAAATTGCGTGAAAAGCCACCTCGTCTCTATTTCCCATTGACATCAATTGATGACAATGGTGTGTCTCGGGCAGTGACTGCTGTGGCACTGCGCGAGCTGGTGACGAGGGCGTTGAGGGGCGGTCTTGTGATGCAAGCAATCGGTACCGTTTGAACTTGGATAGTGTGGCAGTGGATATGTGTCTGCGTGTCACGGTTCTTGGTGTCTTTGCACGTCAGCTTGTGCGGTATCCGTACTAGCACAAACTTGTAAAGCTATACAGCGCTGCCATGCCTCCTTCACATCGTCACTAAGTTGAATTTAAACGTGACTGGGGTCCTGGTTGCGTTGGCTGGCCACAAGCGTGGATGAGACTGAGTCAGCAGCGGGAAAGCCGCAATTCAGACTACAGAGCGCCGTCCAGGCCAAGTCTATGCAACTAACATTATGTCATCTTCTTTTTGTACCACTCAGTTGAGTCGCACCGGAAGCGCGTGAAGAATGCAAGACGATCTTTGTTTTGACGTGCGCCAAAAATTGTGACCAGGGCGCCGGCTGCCATTTGGTGTTGGCCGATGAGCCAAGGCGAGTCTTTTGCTTTGTTTGAGCCACTTTGAGGGGGGTACTAATGGTTGGGCTGTCGTGTCGCAGGGTGGTCGCCGGTGGATGAGGACTGCACGGTGAGCACCGAAAGCGTGTGAAGAGTGCGAGGTGAGCTTTGCTTTGACCTGCGCTGAAAGTTGTGACCAAGGGCTTGGCTCCCATGTGGTGTTGAGGCGCGCCTTTTGCTTTGTTTGAGCCGCTTCGAGGGGGTACTGATGGTGGGGCTGGCGGGTCTATTGGACTACAAGCATAGATGTCTGTCCAGAAGCTGCTGGAACACTCTGGAAGATACCAGTCCAGGATGATGTCTGATTATACTGACGGCGCTCGTCAAATAAGCCTGTAGAACATTGTGATTGTTCCTGCCACCGAGATATAAGTACGGTCCTGTAGACCGGAAGTGGCATTTTACTTTGTACCTTTCCCGTTTCAATTTCCTCTGTTTGCTTTGTGAATTGACCACAAACAGATCATATCCTGAAAGGGTTACAGGATGGTCGCAGACGGATAAAGACATCATAGTGAGTACCGGAGACGTGTGAAGAATGCGAGGTGAGCTTTGTTTTGACGTGCGCCGAAAACTGTGACCAAGGGCCCGGCTGTCGTTTGGTGTTGGCCGAGGAGCCAAGACGCGCCTTTTGCTTCGTTTGTGTCTTTTGGAAGGGGGTACAAAGAAGGGGCTAACGTGTCACAGATTGCTTCCAGGTGGACGAGGGCTCCACAGTAAGCACTGGAAGCGTGTGAAGAAAATGAGGTGTGCTTTGTTTTGACGTGCGCCGAAAATTGTGACCAGGGGCCCGGCCGTCACTCGGTCTACGCGAATGGCCCGTCGCTCGCATTTGTTACATTTTGGCTTCTTTTTAAGTAACGGCCAATAATTTTACATGACATGTTAACGTTCGAGCTTTTGGTGCGCTGTACTGTCGGTACTCAATCGAATTATTCGGGATGTTTATTGTCATGTGGGTTCGGCGCAACCGCTAACAGCGACACGATCGGAGGCTAACCGCTAATGCGTTGGTGAAAGGATTGTTGAAAGACATCAATTTATAATATCAAGGCGAGGAAGCAAAAGTTTGAAACGCGTGCAAGGATACAAGTCAAGAGAAAGAGAAGCAGGTGGCGTGAGGACGGTACCGGATCATTAAGCGTGAAGTAGGAATTGAGCAACAAAGCGGCGGAGGGGAAGATGAAGATGCGGCAACCTAACGCTATTCAGGAATGTAGAGTTGTGGTGTGAGAGTGAGCTCAAAGAAAAGACCCTAACGTTGTATTGTCATCATGCATGGGCGGTATGATGACGATGGCTGTGAGGTATTGAACCGTGTACACTGTTAATTGACAAGCAACATTACACTCACTCACAACGTCCAGAACATGACCGTTACACCTTCCACATTTAAAAGAAAACCAAAGTGTAACAAAAATTTCACCCTCTGAGACAGCACCAAGATTCATTTTTGAACCTGAGCTATCTGCTCTTGCCGCGCCTTGCCCTCTTGCAGTCCTCGCCACCCTCTGCTCCTTACACCAACGCAGCATGGCACAGAACCAAGAAGTGTTGTGCTGTCATTGCGAGCGTGCATTTCCTAATCGTCTGGCACGAGAGCAACACGTTTCTCGGGTACGTTGTTCCTGAGGTCGCTTTATCACGTCGCCAAAAAAAAAGCACACACAGACAGAAAAACACACAAAAAAAATGCGACACGTCTCACTGTTCGGCACATAGGTCCATCAAAAAAGCACGCGAATCACATTAAACGGACAAGTGATTATCCAACACCGAAACGAGGACGGGTACTTTCATTGCCCTGTCGACGGATGCCTCTACCACCATCAACGCGCAACACCCTCAAGTCTCATCTCCGGCACAACCATGAGAACATGCCGACTTCAGTACCGGCTGCGCCTGCCGCCTGCCCTCCTAATCGTCAAAAACCTGCTCGGACGCGCACGAAAAAACGTGTGGTCAAGCTTGATGAACAGCACGGCATTGCCGCGGCGCGAATTTTCATGGACGAGATTGGGTGCCTTGTATCCCCCGTCTTTGAGTCTCCAGTGTGCACGCAGTGCGGTCATGTCCTGAGAGGCAGGGTGACGCATCATCTGTTCAAAAAGCACCATGTGCGGTGCAGCCAAGAAGATATTGATGCAGCCATGGCACTCCTGCGCCCGCTGCAGCCCGAGGAGCCACCGATCGACCTTGGGGCAGAATCTGAGCCTCGTATGCCCATTGAAGGCATCCCCATTCTGGACGGTGTGGGGTGCCCCCTGTGTCAGGCATGCTTCACGACAAAAGGCAGTCTGTGGAATCACATCGTAGCTGAGCATCCCGACGAACCAGAGGCCAAGCAGCCGCCTCGACGAGTCAAGCTGCAAAAGCCGCTGCGCGGTGCTGGAGCCCGCTGTGTCGAGGTCATTGTCGAAGAAAGCCACGACGCCTCGGCAGCCGACGTCAGCGAGAACGAAGAGGAGCTCGAGGAGCAGCAGCGGTTCAAGCAGTTTATCTCAAGCACCCAGGCCATGGCCTCAGAGGCTGAGGATAAGCGATGCCCGCACGGCGTTCACCAGATGCATCCGTTCTACGACAGCGTGGGCATGACGCTGGTCATCAACGAGCTGAAGCCAGAGCGTATGGTCGAACTGGGCCACAACACACCGTCGGCACTCCTCGAGTCGGGCATGCATGAGCTATTCTGGACGGCCTACGAGCAGCTATCGGATCAGGGCCTGGCCGCCGCTGCGGTGACGCGTCTGTTTGCGACAATGAAGGGCAGTATCGGCATCGCCCCATGCGGCAAGTACAGCCGCAAACCGTCAGCAGGTACCTGAGTCTTGGGACACGCCTGGTCCAATTTTTGCTGCTGCTGGAGGCCATGCCAGCCCCCGATCCGTCCAGCTTTCTGGGCCAGGTGCTTGCCAGCCGCGGCCCTGCGGTAATTGATGCCACCGTGGCTCTGAGGGCGGGCCTGAACGCTGAAATGACCAAGAAAGAGCTGGTCGAGCCCCTCACGTCCCTGTGGCTGGCCCTGGTGGAGGTGGAGCTGAGCCTATTTGACAACGACAAGGTGCACTTTGTCAACGTCTTCTTATTGTGCACGGCCGTGTCCAAAGGAAGCGGCATCCTGCAAGACATCAGGCAGTGGACCACGACGCCCGCTGGACTGCTGTACGTTTTCAAATTGTTCCTGCTTCGCCGTGGCAAGAATGAGTCGTGGTCAGTGGCCAACGAGTTGAGGCCGTATATGCAGCCCGGGCGATTGGTGCATTTCTTGAGCCAGCGCATGAGCATGGCACGAACAGCGAGCGTGGCCGAGGGGCAGGCTGGAGTCGACGTCGATATCCGAGCCGATGGCGACGTGACGGACGAGACGCTGCGCACCATTGTCTGTCGAGGCATTGAGCTCAATGTGGAGGAGCTCGGGGCCGCATTGGAGCAGATGCGCAAAGACATGACGGAAATATGGACAAGCAACTCTGC